AACATTCCCAATCTACCTCTACTATGCGTATCTATCTTCCTTAATTTCTACTTTCGTCACGTCTTTTTCCATCTCTAGGCACGGCTTTCTAGCTCTCCTCAGATTGGACATGGTATTCTCAAAAGTAAGATTTTTCTTCTTCAATAAATTAACAATATCCAGAAGTCTATCATTTGGATAATTCAAAACATGGGAGAGATGATTATTTTGTGTCCAACTCACAATTATCAATACATGTATCATTTAATTTTTGGTTTGGTAAGATCATCAAGCTGATATAAAATTATCGATGAAGTGGCAACCGGCAAATTTATGTGGTAAGATGAAATTCGATGGCATCCTTGCATATCAAATTTCTTTGATTTCCGTGAAAGAAATATTTTTTTTCCTTGACATTTGTCTGCCTTCTTTCTATGTATACGTAGTAGATTTATGTAAGCAATAGATCTAAAATCTATCTATCAAGTTTTCTATTTTATCAAATTTTACGATAATTCCTGTCCATCATAGGTAGGAGATCATTTTTGTGCAAGTTAAACAAAATAGATCTCACCTTCAAATCAAAACTTGATATCATTTTACTTGCAGTCATGCTAGTAAATAAAAAATATATATAAAATTATGGTGTAACAAATTAAATTTGCGGTTACAATATAGCCACCCTAATAAGAATTCATAACTCACGTAACGTTGAACCTCTTTGAAATTGCCACGATATCCAATTTATCAATTCACTATGGGAAAAATTTACGAATATTCTTAAAATGTTTACAGATCCCATACTTATACTTCTTTATTCTTTTTTATTTTAATTATTTTACAATAAATTTGTAACATAATTTGTTACCTTTTTGTGAAATTGTGTTTCACACAATGTGTTTTATTTTGTAAAATTGTGTTATAATCATTTAACCACCCATATTTTCTTCGTCTCCATCACCACCATACTTATAAGAGTAATGTTATTTACAATCGTTCACTTAGTAATCGTCCTCTGTGACATAAATATGACGGTTAGTGATTTGATACATTAATATGGTAGTTTTTTTATTGCCTTATGCAATAAATCACTAACCGTCATGTGTATATCACGTAGGACAACTGCAGTAGTGAACGACTGCAAATAGCATATTATTCTACTTATAAACACATTGTGTAACAAATATTTTATTGTCCATTTCCACTATCATCGCAACCTTCACCATTACCCGGACTTGTAACGTTTAGAATTACACCATTGTCACCGACTTTGCAATTTGTAACATTTTGTTTCACTACCATCTTCATTCTCATCCCTTGTAACATTTATTGTTACACCACCATTGTGCGCTGTAAACATGACTGCCATTGCCATAGACCAATTCAAAAATCAAAATACATATGCATGCACTGGCACACACACTAAAGAAATTTAATTTCAGATTTTGGCAGTCTGACTGAGGTGGTAGCGGTGGGGTTGTGGAGTAGCAGTTGGATGGCTTCTCGTTGGAGGTTTACAAAAAAAAAAAAGCAGAGGTGCCGACGGTGGTAGAGTAGCAATTGGACAAAGGTTAATTATCAGCGGTGGAATAGCATCAGCCACATATTCTCCTAGGTCTGAACATATTAACTGAATCAAAATTAGATGTTCCGATCCGGTTCCCAAAAAATAAATTAAGGAACCGAAATTGAGAATCGAAAATCAACTGGATCCGAATCGATTTTGAGTTCATGAAACAAAACCGTGCATACTCGAATGGAACCAATATTTTATATATATTTTTTATTTTTTTACAAAGGCTAGATAAAAAAAAAATTACAAATCATAAAAACTCTAATTGTGTAGTAATTTGTTTGAAACTATATACTCTAACCCTAAGAAATCATGAATACTCTTACTTTTTTGCCTCTCACCTCAAATCAAATTGTTGCATTTCAAAGGTTAGTATAAGGGTGTGTTTGAACCCCATTATTTGACATTATAATGAGTTGAATAGTGTTTTTTTTTTAAATGCGTGGTTGAAATTTTTTTGATTTACTTGTAATATTATTTTATTGAAAATTGTGTGGTTAAAAGTAGGAGAGAAAAAAATTTAATTTAATGTAATGAGAAATAATGGGGCTCAAACGGGGGCTTAATCTTTACGATTTGGACTCTCTTTGAATCAAAAAGTTCAAGCAAGAGTTGTAGTGTGGGTTGATAAATCAAAGAGTTCATTCTTTACTATCCGAGTTTTTCGTTTTTTTGCTTATTTACAACTTAAGGTATTTTTCAATTTTTTATAACATTCACCAATTGGACTCAATATATTTTTAGCTTAGGTTCTAGTGTACATTTTTAGTTATCTTGCATTCGTTGTTCTCTTTTGAAATATAATTTTTCTTTTTACTTAAATAGAGCGAGTTCAATATGTGGAGTGTATTTTCTTGATACTATATATTTATGCATGCAGTTAATATTTGTTTGTAAGTTCATTTCAAAAGTAGAAGACTTTTAAGTATTATCCATAATTAAATTATAGGCTTTGTTATGTCTCATTTATAGATCAAATAAGATTTATTAAGAAAAAAAATCATTAATTTTCAAACTATAGTTTAATTATTGATGTTTTATTTTTCTCCTCTTTTCGTGATTTTTAGTCTTCACTATTTTGAGTCATATAGCTGAATTTCTTAACTTCTTGAAAATTTATCAACTAGATTTTCTCCCTTGAAAAAATATTATCAAGTAATATTGTGTTAAGCATAGGTATCGAGAAGGTCTAGTATGAAACTTTTTATTTAACGTATATACCCAAAAAAAAAAAATGTATGGGTAGAATTGAGCTCAAATGCTTAGTGAAGGTTTAGATTTGGATTTGGTTCCACTAATTTCGAGGACATGAATCATTTCATTTATGAAATACGTGAAACATAATGAGTTATTTTCGTTATTTAAATACTCGAACTGACCCATCAATGCGCAAACCTATATTCTCCTAGAAATCACTATACAAAATCTATTTTCCTTGAAAAATAGAGCTCATATATAGGCTTTTTTTTTCTTTTTTTTTTTTAGGTACGGAATACAATGTACCAAAAAATAAAAAATAAATGGTTGCATGGAGTCTCTAAAAATAATGAGACACCAAGCAGCAAAGGCCCAAGAAACCAACAGCCCAAAAAAGAATCTGCCCATAATAATCTGAACTAAAAGGAAAAAAAGAAAAAATTAACAACAAATTGCCAACTAATTCACAGCTAAAAAATATTTATTAGAAATAATAAAGTACAGTTGGAATCCAAATCAAATATGACAACTGATGCCATTCAGGTGGCATTATATATTAATATTGTGAAGAATAATCATAACAACACTATTTTAATTGTCTAATGAATAAAATATATCTCAACTTAATTTGACAATTTAAACATAGGTTCCATTTACCCTTAGATTTAATACTAAGCACCAATAATATTAAAAAAATATTATTTAATTGTGATGGATTTCAAGAAATATATTAGAAGAAAGAAAATACATATTTATTTGAAAAAATAAAAACCCCCAACTATATCATTCAAGAGGCACATTAATCCTCAACCTTTAAATGAGCATGTTAGAAGTCAACATTTCGTTATGATTGTATAGTCAATCTTTAACAATTGAAGCGATTCAAATATTTACTAAGTTGTGGTTTTTAAAGGAATATATCGTGCTTCAAAAGATCTAAGGCTCGATCATTAGGTTGTATTTTTAATGAAAGTTTCGATACTAACCTACTATCTTTTTCAAGATTAAGAACTAAGTAACTAAAACAATAAGTTGTTCAATTTCCCTAAACACGAGTAGAAAACTAATGACAAAATGAAAGTTATAGTTTATTGGAAAAATTTAGGATTAGACTTTTAAACATTTCAGATAGCGTGATTTTTGGTCTTTAACTTTTAAATATGAGGTTTTGGGTATCCAATCTGCATAATTCTACTAATATAAAATATCTTATTCAAAATCTATCGTGTTTATCCACTTGACTACATCTATCCTTGCGCCCACATAGGTTTAAGTCTCTATCAATGATTAGATCATTTTTGAATTCTCCTATTACTAGAAGTTTTTCCTATACCTAGTTACAAGTTGTGTTTCCGAATCTTTAGAGGAAACAAAGCTTTAAGTAGTAGTTTCACGTTAAAGCTTCAAACGAAGAGGTTGGGCCGTGAAGAAAATCATAAATAAGGACATTAAACGCGCAGGTGACTTTCACATAACTTAAAACTTGAAATTAAATATGTGATGATTTTGTCATCCAGCTTTAAGCCATGTGAAAGCCTCCCACGATTCTGATTCTAATGTCAACATGGACGATTTCAATCACATCGGTACCAAATTTACATATTTTAATAGGTTAGAGACTCAAAATCACACTAATTAAAAGTTGAGGAGTGTAGTAGTAATTTTCCCTAGTTTCTAATTATAAGTAATATATAATTATGCCCATGTTTGATCCTCATTACGTGGAAAAATTAATGGGGGAATAGTATTTTTTTGAAAAATGAGTGGTTGAAAAAAAAAATGAGAAGTTTTTGACTTACGTGTAATATTATTTTATGGAAGATTGTGTGGTTGAAAATAGGAGAGAGAAAAATGAAATGTAATAGAATTTAATGTAATGAGGCTTAAACAGAGGCTATGTTTCAATATATTTAATTTGACTAAGTCAAGGAAACAAATTAAAAGTTGAGGAGTGTAGTAGTAATTTTCCCTAGTTTCTAATTATAAATAATATATAATTATGTTTCAATATATTTAATTTGACTAAGTCAAGGAAACAAATTAAAAGTTGAGGAGTGTAGTAGTAATTTTCCCTAGTTTCTAATTATAAATAATATATAATTATGTTTCAATATATTTAATTTGACTAAGTCAAGGAAACAAACATGTGTGACAGGCAGCACATTTAATGATTAATCACAGGCCAAAATCAAATTATTTGACAGGTTATTAAATTTTTTTTTTTTTTTTTTGTATGTTAATTGGTGTTTTTTTGCTCTTTGGATTTTACAGATAGCTAGATACAATGACTGTTGAGGTTAAAGCTGAGGCCGAGGCGGTGCCGGTGGTGGAAGAGGTTCTGAAGGAGGCAAAAGAGGCGGTGGTAGAAGAAGTGAAGGATGAAAAGGAGCATAACTGTGAAGCCAAGGTGGTGCATAAGAGCGCTTCCTATAGAGAAGAGAGTAATTTTCCCTCTGATCTGAAAGAGAATGAAAGGAAGGCCTTGAATGAGCTTAAAGCAAAACTTGAAGAAGCCATTCTTGGGAACACTCTCTTCAAGAAAGAAGAAAAAAATGAGGTTCCCCAAAAACCCATCTGCCACGACGAAGCAAAAGAAGAGAAAGAAAAGGAACAGGCTGAAGAAGAATGTGAAAATGGAGCAGAAAAGAAGGAAGAAGAATGTGAAAAGAAAAGAGAAGAGAGCCCTAATGAATGTGTAGATGTTGAAGTTGAAAAGGAAATTTCTATCTGGGGAGTACCGCTTTTGCCCAGTAAAGGGGATGAAGGTACTAATATAGTTCTCTTGAAATTCTTGAGGGCTAGGGATTTCAAAGTCAATGATGCCTACCAGATGCTCGAGAAAACGCTCAAATGGAGGAAAGATTTCAAGATTGATTCTATCTTCGACGAAGAATTCGGTCCTGAACTTAACTCGGTCGCATATATGAGTGGCGCTGATCGTGAAGGGCACCCCTTGTGTTACAACATTTTTGGGGTTTTGAACAATGAGGAGATCTATCAGAAAACACTTGGAGACGAGGAGAAGCGCGAGCAGTTCCTGCGATGGAGGGTACAGCTTATGGAGAAAGGCATTCAGAAACTAGAATTTAAGCCTGGTTGTGTCAATTCATTAGTTCAAATCAATGACCTAAAGAACTCGCCCGGAGCCTCAAAGAAGGAAGTTCGCACTGCTGTAAACAAAGCCATTGCGCTTCTCCAGGACAACTACCCTGAATTTGTTGCTAAGAATGTAAGTGTTTATTTTATTTTATTTTTAATTTTCTTTTTTTTTTTTTTTTTTTTTTTTTTTTTTTTTTTTTTTGGGTGCTAATGTGATTGCCTGTTGCAGATATTCATCAATGTTCCATTCTGGTATTTCGCGTTCCATTCTCTGCTGTCTCCTTTCTTAACTCAAAGAACTAAGAGCAAATTAGTCTTTGCCCGTCCATCCAAGGTCACGGAGACTTTGCTCAAGTAAATCCATCTTGTCGTCGTATGTTTTGTGCCTCAATTTTTTGTGCTTGGGATTATGAAAACTAATTCAAACCAAATCCAAATCTGAGACAGGTACATACCAATTCAAGAAATTCCAATTCAGTATGGCGGACTCAAGAGGGAGAACGACTACGAGTTCTCTGCTAGCGATGGTCAAGCTTCAGAAGTTGTGATCAAGGCTGGAGCAACTGCAGTAATTGAAATACCTGCACCAGAGGTACTAAATTGATAATGAAAAATTATCCATTAAAATAGAAAAATGCTGATTCTGAAAATTGCTTTATTCACCAATGACAGGCTGGAAGCACATTCATCTGGGATCTCCATGTTCTGGGTTGGGAGGTGAACTATGCAGAGGAGTTTGTGCCTACTGATGAGAATTCTTACACAATGATTATTCAGAAAGAAAAGAAGATGGGGTTGGACGAGGCACCAGTCCATAAGACATTCAAGAACCACGAATCAGGGAAAATTGTTCTTACAACGAAGAACTGTTCTGGAAAGAAAAAGAAAATGTTCTATCGCCACAAGATCAAGAAATCCTCCTGCTGAGTGGTGAATTCTATATATGGCTTCTTGGTCTGTGACACAATTGGATTCGTTATTGTTTGTTATTCTTTCTTGTAATCAATATTCTTTTAGCATATCCCCTTTTATTCTTTTAGCAAATCCCCTTTTATTCTTTGTATTCATTTTCTTCAACTTGCACAATTTCGAGTTTTGGTAAAAGTACAAGGATGAAAATGTTTGAAGATGATTTCTTCTTTGAGTGAAGAGTTCAGTATTGTCCATGGATCATTTTTTTCTTGGTCTTAATACATAAATTTGATTGAGTAGCATTGTATTAAGGACTAATTATTTTCAATTTTTCCTTTAAAAATTTAAAGCATGCCACAAGTATTATATTCACTAAAGGAAAACAACAGTAGCATTTATAGCCAAGGAGGGATTTTAAAATCAACATGCTTTGTAATCATGAGCTCTAATCCTTTCTCAACTATAGTCCACACCCAGTCTCCACCAGGGGCAGACCCAATGAAGGTCTGCACTGGATTTTGGGCCGTCCCCAAGGGAGGAGTGAGGACCTCGGCTTCCCAATTCCCGCTTCCGTTTTGGAAGCTCCGAAGATCTTGAAATTAGTGTTTTCCGAGCTCAGTCCAATATATCTTTCTCTACCAACAATCAATCCAACTGACTTCGATCCACAACCAATATCAGTGCAGACCCAATGAAGGTCTGCACTGGATTTTGGGCCGTCCCCAAGGGAGGAGTGAGGACCTCGGCTTCCCAATTCCCGCTTCCGTTTTGGAAGCTCCGAAGATCTTGAAATTAGTGTTTTCCGAGCTCAGTCCAATATATCTTTCTCTGCCAATAACCAATCCAACTGACTTCGATCCACAACCAATATCATTCACCTTGGTTACCATTCAATTTTACCTACAAAGGACAAGAAACGGTGATGATTTGTGGCCACAAAGGCAAGGAGAAAACACCACAAAGGTAGGATATGAAAGAATCACAAATTATACAAAGTAATCAACCAATTTTCGCACTTCAAAGGGGCTATTTTCCACACACTTCAAGGACAGCCGAATTTATCCTTTTTTCTCACATAAACCACATTAGAAAATAACTGGGGTTAGGCTTTTAAATAGTCGATGGTTAGGCTTTTAATTAAACCAAAAGAAAGGTAAACGGATCGAGGGTGGAGCTCTTGGACTTGGTTGTTAGACTTATTTCATTTATCGACCTATGTCTATAAAATACATTAACCCACGTTAACATCAAGTTTGGGATTTATTGTGTATCACAAAACTCAACAAATCTCCACTTTGATGTCCAAATAAATCTGCAAGGAATCAAATACATAGTTAGCGCATAGTCAAGGTAGCCAATAAAATTAGATCACAGACCTTACTTCATGTTTACAACCTGAAATACATACCATACATGCTCCATGTAGAAATAGATATTCACAGTAAACATATGATAACGATATAATATAGGATAACACACACAGATCTTTTCAGAAACACATTCACATAGAACTACAGATTAACACCAAGTTAATCAAACACATGGTCAAACACATATGCAATAAATATATAAATGATCTCACGAAAAGATCTCACCACACTTATCCTATCTCATTCCTTGTTGCTCACACCTCGAGAACATATATCTCCTCTTATTGCCCACTATGCTAACTAGACTGATCACTCACTCATGTCTAACTGGTAAGCCATAATAGATCCTAAGTCCACGGGATAATCCTCAATCACCACATCACTTTTCTCAACCTACGCATATAATGGGTCTCCATCTAACAGAAATGATAGAAGTGCCTCTCACACACTTTACCTGATGAGAGTCTCTTTACAGATAAATGATTCTAAATATTTAATCACCTCTCCTCTCATGATCCAAATGTCACACTCCACATCCTCAGTACAAACCACAATGTACCCCTAGGCATCTAAATTATACCTCACCAAAGGACATACACCACACTATTAATGCATCATGACCCACTATGCACGCAAACAATAACACCAAGTAATCATATTACCTCAAATGCATGCAAATGCACATATCAAACACATTGAAATACAACTTATACTCATGCAACAAGAATTAGGCAATCACATACATACAGAAAAGATCACACACAGACGCACATGTAGTAACTAGGTTTACTCTTAATAAACCTCACTAAAGTCATCGCTCGACCTTAAAGCCAAATTTGTCTTACCTCTCATTTTACCCTTCAGCTTATCGTTCTTCTTGGGATAGTCCTTAATAAAGTGCTCAGACTTATAATGACTATAACACAGTCTACCACTAGACTTGTCCTGTTCCTTACTCTTCTTCTTACTACCCTCATCACTGAGTCACTACTCGAATCGTTACTGTCTTAAGTTCTATCCAAATTCATTTGCTTAAACTTCATCCTACTCCTCATCATATGTAACTCGCCATTTCTCTTATCCTCTTTTTCAGCCTTAATTTTCGTCTCCTTACTTCTAAGTGAGTCTATAATAATCTCGAGTGTTAAAGTGTCCCTACCATACTTAATTGCATTCTTAACTTCTCTTATGAATCAGGCATGGAATTAAGTAGGATAATAGCCTCACATGTTTCAGAGACCTTTTCACCACAATTAACAATATCTTGAACAAATTTTTTAAAGGCATTCAAATTGTCATCAAGATCTTTTGAAGGATCCATTTTAAAGTTGAAAAATCTTTCAAGCAAGTATAATTTATTAAGAGTGGACTTCAGCAAATATAAGTCCTCCAACTTTTCCCAAAGTTCTTTGGTAGAATCAAGTTTTCCTATTTTCTCAAAACAGTGTCAGACATGTGTAAAATAATTATAGTGTACGCAAGTTCATCATACTCTTCTTTTTGTGCTTCTATTAAGTTTGCAGGAATTTGCCATCTATGGCTTTTGAAACCTTTTGTAAGAACAAAACTTCATTAATCTTTTGTTGTCAAATTGAAAAATCTCATTTCCCATTAAAACCTCCAACGTCAAAGTGTGATGACATTTAAAATAAAAATAGAACAACCAAATACGCAGATATGTCACTCGTAGTAATCCTAAGGGCGTAATATACATCGTTCTAGATTTCCAAAGTTTCGTAAGACTCAAGATCTTAGATCAAGGGAATGTTCGAACGGGTCAAGTTTAGGTGTTCTAACAGGATAATCAATGCAACACGAAGGAAGGTAAACAAAAGTTCAATTTTCATGTTACACAGTCTTACACAGTGACTATATGATAGTTAAAGCACAAAATCAACTACCAACTTGCAATCAAAACTCAACACTTCAAAATATGGCAAATAACTCCTAAATTTCTAGCACAAGCAATGTTACCTCTTCACGATAACCATAAACCTAATTCATCCCATACGATGACGCGCTAATATTGAAATTTAAACTGGGATAAGCTAATATACCTGAGTGGATCAATCTGAGTCCGTAAATTATGAGAGATGCAAATTTATCACTCTAGGACCACAACTATTTGTTCTAAAGCCTCTAGCAATTACAACAACCAACAAACTACGATTGAATCCCAAACGTACAAAGAACAACTCTATCTAGATTCTACTACACAACCTGAAACAGAAAACTAACAACACAAAAATGTCAGAAATATTGTTAGAAACAAACTGCCTAAAGAGACCTCCTCCAGAAACAGCTGCACGCACCTCCACTTTCTCTGTATGCGACCGCCATGCACAGCCTGACCACCACACGTGTTAGACAACCTGGTCCGCCACCACCTATACATCACACAATGGTCTCTGTTTCCCCAAATTCCTTCTGAATTGGTTGAAAAACAGAGGTGATTTTGATAGTTTTTTGGATAGTTTTTTTACTTGATATCTGCTTTGTTTCTGCTGGTTTTCTGGATGTTTTCTAGTATATTTCACAAGTCAAACCATCATCTTGCAGCTGTGATATCAAACGTTACGGAAAATTGCTCCAAAGATCTTCAAATCTGTATTTTTCGGGTTCAATCCAACGTACCTTTCTCGACCAACAACCATCCAGTCGGCTCCGATCCACAATCAATGTAACTCATATTGGTTTCAATTTTAACCATAAAGGACAAGAAACGGTGATATTTTGTGACCACAAAGGCAAGGAGAAAACACTACAAATATAGGATATGAAGGAATCACAAATTACACAAAGTAATCAACCAATTTTGGCACTTCAACGGGGCTGTTTTTCACACACTTCAAAGGAAGCCGAATTTCTCCTTTGTTCTGACAAAAACCACACTAGAAAATAGCTAGGGTTATAGTATTATAAATAGTCTATGGTTAGGCTTTTAATTGGACCAAAAGAAAGGTAAACGAGCCAAGATTCAAGCATCGAAAATACAATTGGACTGGGTAGAGATCATGGATTTGGTTGTTGGACTTATTTCATTCATCGGTCTATACATATGAAATACATTAATCCACGTTAACATCGTAGCCCGAGATTTATTAGGTATCAACAAACCCTACATTATATTTCTCTCAACTATGATATAAATATACACACTTCATTTCCCAAAACTCAAAGGTAATTTTATCTTTTTCTTCACTTTTTCTCTAATTCATTTTATGCATCAATTAGAAATACAATTTGTTTTATCTTCTTCCATTTTACAAATTTTATTATCTTAATCAAGATTTTACTGTATTATTCTCATCTCAAATTTGATTTAAAATTGATATTTTTATTAATTCCTTGTATGTTTTTTACTTAATTTCTTGCTAAATTTTGAAATTGGATTTTAGGGCCTAAACTAAAATTTAGGGCTTTACTGTTTTTTCTCCAAACTTCGATTCTTTATGTTAGTTAACTTTTCAATCTTATGTTTTTTCATGTTACACAAGCAGATTTGTGTTAGGTTATTATCGTAGATTTTAGTTTTTTACGTAATATTATATTGTCAGAGAAGTGCAGTGAATTGGAGAGGTTTGAGGCTGATTTTTGTGAAAATGATCACGGAAAGATGTTATAAAAAACCTCTCGAGTACGTGAAAAATATTGTGAGAGATGTCAAATAGATTTATCAAGTTCACTTAATCAAGCTTGCATTAAATGTGAAACCTTAATGAATCATGATCAACGCATTCAATCCGTTTTCTTCAAGTAGTCCGCACAAATGTGAAGTGAATATTGTGTCCGTCTTATTTGTAAAAAGTTCATCTTAGTTTTTAACAATTTTTTACACTTACTTTTAATTGAAATAAAATTATATAAAACAGAAAGGTAGAGAAAGAA